TGTTTTTTTTTTTTTTTTTTAGTTTTACATGAAAAGTTTAAAATTTTAGATAAAATTGTCACATAATTCAGTACTTGTGTTGACATGATACAGTATAATCTTAACCATTGCTACTTTCTCTTCTAGTGTGTAACTAGGGTTTCAATTGCAGGAGTAAAATTTCTTTTCCTTCCAGCCGTTAAAGAAAAGAAAAGAGAAATTCTTTTAAGTATGCCACAGATTCAAACGAGGTTTGTCTTCAATCATAAATATTCCACCACTTATATCGAGATATAAATTCTTTTACTTAGATTGTTCTTTTACCTTTGGATTGTTCAAATCCAATCAATGTAAATAGCACTATATTCCCCCGACCCCTCTGATGATCCTGTTGATGACATGTTGAGGTTCCTCTTGTTCGACCTGTTTGTTGGCGTCCCTGTTCCTGAAGTGATTTTTTGTTCGATCATTTAGAAATTCTCAGAGGTGTCCGTTATTGAACAACCAGGCAACTTCTTCCCTCACTTTTGGGCAATCTTCGGTCTTATGACCATGAGTGCCATGATACTTACACATATCTCTTTGGGTAAGGTCGGCCTGTAATGGTCAAGGCCACTTGGTCTCTTTGATGAGCCCAACGGCTAACACGATGCTGGCAGCATCAACGTTGAAGTTATACTATGATAATCTCGGTGCTTCCCTACCCCCAAGAGGCCTGTCGAAATCATTTTTACTCATCAGACCTCGGCTACTAGGTCCTCGATTGCTTATCTTCTCGTTCCTCGTGGGATGACGCCTAGACCCATTTCCTCTTTGGTCCACGATGTATGGTTGGAACTGATCCCAAACCGGTCTTGGCTCATAATCAACGGTTCTTTTAGGCCCGTCATCGTCCTGATGGGGTAAACAAACCCGAAAGGAGCTCTGAGTTGGTCGTCCTCGACCCTGATCTTTGACTGGTACCCATTGTGGACGACGACCTAGGTCACCGCCAGGTACTCTACCAAATTTTGTTTTAGCTGTTGAGAGGCCAAGGAACTTCGGGGGGGTTAAGCCCCTGAGTGAATGCCTGGAGGACCCAATCATCTGCAATCAGAGGCAGGTCCATCCGTTCCATCTAGAACCTTCACACAAACTCCCTGAGCATGTCGCTATATCTTTCATTAACCTTGAAAAGGTCCGACTTTCTGGTCTCAACCTTGATGGTCCCAGCATGGGCCTTCACAAAATCATCTGCAAGCATAGCAAACGAGTCAATAGATTTTTGGGGTAAATTGTGATACCATATCTTCGCTCATTTAGACAAAGTTTCCCCAAACTTCTTTAGTAGCACCGACTCAATTTCATCATCTTCCAAGTCATTCCCTTTAATTTGATGGCGCATGTATAGGAGGTTACATGCTCATTCGGATCCGTGGTTCCATTATACTTTGGGATATCGGGCATACGAAACCTCTTTGGGATCAGCTTCGGTGCCGCGCTCAGAAGAAAAGGCTTCTGGATAAATTTCTCGAAATTCGGCCCTTTCAATCAAGTGTGCTCCCGGGATTTGATTGACCCTAGAATTGTATGTTTCAACCTTTTTGTCATTGGCCTCAATTTTCTTCTCACGTGATTCCACCCGTTTCGTTAATGCTTTAAGCATTTTTATTATCTCGGGGTTGACCCCGGGCTCAGATTCACCCGGTCTCTTGGTAGTTTGTTCGTTTCTTCAGATGCTTTCCAAGGATTGTTCGGGCGCGACCCTACTTGTAATGACCCGACCGATCGTATTGAGCAATTGCACTTCTCACTAGTTCTCGGGCATGACTAGCCCCGTATGATATATTATAACTTATGTAAATCATCGATTTTGATTTTCAGGATAATCAGAATAGATTTGGAGGAACTATTCTCACCTTGAAGCTTTAAATTTGAAAGGTTTGACCAAGTTTTGACATTTTAGTATTCGATCTCGGATTTGAATTTTTTTATGATTTGGTTAGCTCTGTTAGGTTATTTTGGACTTGGGAGCGCGTCCAGAATGTGATTTGGAGGTCTGTGGTAAATTTAGGCTTGAATTGGCGAAATTGGAAATTTGGAGTTTCCGGTTGGCAGTGGAAATCTTGATATCGGGGTCGGAATGAAATTCCGAAAGTTGAAGTAGGTTTTTAGTGTCATTTCTGAAGTGTGTGTTAAATTTTAGGTCATTTGGACGAAGTTTGATAGGTTTCAGCGTTGTTTGTGAAATTTGGAAATTTAGATGTTCTTAAGCTTGAATCTGAGGTTGAATTGGTGTTTTGATGTTGTTTTGAGTGTTCCGAAGGTTCGACTAGGTTCGTGTGTTGATATATGACTTATTGGTGCTTTTTGTTGAGGTCTCAAGGGCCTCGGGATGAATTTAGTTGGTTGTCGGAATAATTGGAAGTGAGTTGGTGCAGCTGAAATTTGTTGCTTCTATTATTTCCGCACCTGCGGATTTAGGACCGCAGGTGAGAGGTCACAGATGCGTGAGGAAGGCCGTAGATGCGGTTTTGGACCAA